GAGAATAACTCTTTTCGTCTTCTTCTCAATTATCTCAGAACCCTCATCGTCGAATGAGACTTGAAGACCGGTACCTCCAACAAGTTGAGATACACTGATGAGGTTATGTTGCAATCCTTCCACATATGCAACCTTCCTTATTGTGAAATCACCATTTGTAATCATTCCATAGCCTTTTATGGTGCCGAAGGAGTTGTTCCCGAATTTGACATTTCCACCATTTGAAAGAGATCTGAATTCCCTTAGCTCTTCCTTCCTTCCTGTCATGTGACGCGAGCAGCCACTATCAATGTACCATTCTTCGTCAAACTGCTCGTCACTGATAACCTGCAAAAATTAAGCAGATTTAGGAACCCAGAGCTTCTTGGGTCCACGTGAGCTTTTTACAGGAATAGGAATAGTAAGAGAGATGTCAACTAAATATGTTCTTTTTATTAGTGTTGTTTCATCTTTCCTTTTGATGGTGAAAACTTTGATTTTATTTGGATTTGATGCTTTTGGTATTGATTCTGGTTCAACATCTGAAACCTTCTGTTTTCCTTTTTGTTCAGCTGATGACTGAGATTTTTGAGAAGGAACAGAGTGGAATTTAGGACAAGAAGAGACAGAAGATTTTGAAGAGTTAGAATGAGATAGCTCAGATTGGTATGACTTTTTGGTTGAAGATTCTAGATGACTCTTTTGCTTTTGATTAACAGTAGGACCAACCCTAGAGTTTTGATCTCTTTTGATTTCCGAACCAAACCTGTGCTTTCGGTTGAAATCATTTTCTGAACCGAACCTATGCTTTCGGTTGTTGTTATGCTCTGAACCGAACCTCTGCTTTCGGTTGTCATTGTGCTCTGAACCGAACCTCTGCTTTCGGTTGTCATTGTGCTCTGAACCGAACCTCTGCTTTCGGTTGTTGTTTTGCTCAGAACCGAGCCTCTGCTTTCGGTTGTTGTTTTGCTCAGAACCGAGCCTCTGCTTTCGGTTGTTATTGCTCTCTGTCGATCCAACAGGATTTTTCTCTGGTTTTAAACTCCTGTCTTGATGTGAGAAATAGGCATTTTGCGATTGCCAAAATTGTTTTCTTTCTGAGAGATTCTTCCTGTATCTCTGATTCCTTTCTCGTTTTTGATTTCTCATCTGCTTTGGTTGATGATGGATGTTAGCTTTATGTTTTTGGTTTTCGTTGGCTGATCCACTCTGTACTGATGAAGTTTCACTTGGGGATGTGACTTCTTTTGCAGGAATTTCTTTCTCTTGAGGGACATCTTTTGTACCACTGGTACTTGCCACGTTGAAGCTATCAGGTTTATTCAAAGGTTCTGGTACGTATCTGCCTTTGCTTTTCCATGAAGTCCTTTCAGACAGACCTACCGTTTCATCAGCATTGTCAATGGGAGCTGACCAGAAGAACTCGTCACAGCCATCAGTATTGTCTTCGTTCACAATAGCTGTGAGTTCAGCAGTCTGATGTTCGGTTACACCTGTGACCTTGTACACCTGATTTGGAGTGGTTCTAACTTTTTGGTATACGACTGCCTTCTCTACAAGGATCGGGGACTTTTGTTGGGACATCCGAGCGAACTCCGCATAATTTTCTGAAATGAGATTTTTGTGGTTCTCGGGTTCGTTCTTGACAAATTCTGAACAATCAACCGTGTCCTCTACAAAAATTTCACTCATATTATCGTCCTCATTAAGCTCAGATGCATTTTCAACATCAATTTTATTTTCTGAGCTTAAGTTGACATTCAATGAGTCAAATTTTTGTATGGTTTCGGTTCTTAGCTTCAGTTTATCATTTTCATCCAAAAGGTTTTTGAGCATGTTCTTGTGGTCCTTGGATTTAATGAAAGATTCTATTTTGTCCAGTCCATACAGATATGTTGGATTAACATCCTCAGAAGAAATAACACTCTCACAATTATATGCTTCAGCATCAATCTCATCTTCCTTAAACTCAAGGAAGGGTAAAATCATGCGATGAATCTTTTGCCCTATTTCACAATTCAAATGAAGCTGAGTAATATTTGTATAAAGACGTTTGGCAATCAAACAAAAAACATTTCGCTGTTTCAAAAGCTTTAAATTTCTCTTTGCAAATAAATGTTTTCATCTTTTATTTTGATTAACTCCGACTCCTTCAGTTCGATCCACATCCGCCGTTCCTCACTCTTCGAAGACACCCTGCTTAATTGGTCAGTTAGGTTAGAATTGGTGACCCGAGTTTGAGTTAAACTACTATCTAGATGAGAGATTCTTGAATTAACACTTTTTAATTCCTTTTCATATGAGCATTGTGGGACTTTAAATGAGACAAAAACTGATTGTACCTTCTTGATCAGTTCATCAAGTTCGTTGAACTGCACGCTGAGTGGTTTGGCAGTAAAGCACAGATTCTGTTGTTCCTTTGTGTCATCATTCCCACCATCAGTGTTGTATCCCCTCATCTGAGATACGTCGGACACCATTAAGCATCTTCCTCCACTGCTCTCTTCTTTCGCTACATAAGCCTTTCCATGTGAAGGCTTCCTCACTTCATCATCTTCGGAGTCGGTTGACCAGACCTCCACGCCACCGAACTCATTATCAGCTACCGAACCCTGCACAATTAAAGCATTCATAGGAGGGTTAGCAGCAGATTTCTTCATCCTTAATTCATCAAGCTTTTTCAGCAGCACAGCTTCTTCATCATTTTCCTCATCCTTTTCTGCCATCTTTTTGAGGACGCAATCTTTTGCATAGTGGTTCTTTCCTCCACAATAATAGCAACTCACTCCCGAATCTCCTTCAGCCTTCGGTTCCTTCTTTGACTCTTCAGCCTTCGGTTCATCTTTGACTTTTTCAGAGCTTAACTCCCTTGCCAGTTTGGTTCCTGTTAGTGGGGAATCTCTTCTTGATGAATCTCTTGGGGTTTGACACCATCATAGCATAGTCCTCAGACGTGAGATCATAATCATCCAAGTTGAGATCTTCGTCCTCTATCACCGCTTTGCTTTTCGACAGGAGGGCCAATGAACCTAGACTTGAAACCACGTTTTTCTCCTGTAATACGATCTTTTCTTGAGATTTTAGGATGCCCACCAGTTTTGCCAAAGAATAGGATTTGAATTGCTCGTGCACTTTAACTGTGGACACAACTGCTCTCCACTCAGATCTGAGTCCGTTCAAAAACGTAACCTTCTGTTCAATAAGCTTCCTTTCGATGTCATGTTTGATCATCTTGCTAAGAAGATGATTGAAGCGATCGAACGTTTGAGTCACCGTTTCTTCTGCTCCTTGCTTGAACTCACCAAACTCAGACAAGAGTAAGGTTTGAATGGAGTGTTCAAGATCTTCGTCTGTAGAGTACAGTTCACGTAACCTGTCCCATATTTCTTTTGCAGTCGTGCATGAACTTACCAGCCTAAAAGTATCGGATTGAAGAGCAAATCTGATCAATCTTAACGCTTTGATATTGCACTGAAATTTAACTTTTTCGTCTTGCGCTACATCTTTAACATCTTTCAGAAGATCGTTATACTCCTTTTGAGTTTTAATGATCCTTGAAGTTGCTGAATGAGAAAAAGGTGCAGAGATGATAGCTTCCCAATGAGGTATCCATTATCCTCAGATCCTATGACATAATCTTCAAAGTGATTCGCCCAGACTTCATAATCATGGGTGTACAGGATGGGAATCTTCGTTGTTGATCCAATGCTGTTTGAAATATTGATGGGATTGGATTGCGACTCGTCCATAATTGATCGAATAACCTGTTCAAAGATCAGACTTGTAATATATCAAATTAGGGCTAAAACAATAAATATCGAGATACGTCAATTATGACATGACGGCTCAATAAATATCAATAAATGCGGAATAACCCTAATCGAATCTTTTTCACAGAAAAGAAGTGTATCGATTACACAACCTCCTGCTCTTATACCAATTGATAAGTTTAAAAACAAACTTGAAGATCGATTAGATCTATGAAACAGGTAGAGAAATAACCAGATAAACAATAAGAACAAGCAAATGGATCAAAAGGTGTCGAATGATTAATAAACAATCCTCAGAAGAGCTCGATAAAGAACATCAACTGTAGAGGATTTTAGGGTTTACAGTAATCAATGAGAATGACGACAACACTTCTACATACGCATACATGCATGCATATATTTATATTAAAACCCTACCTTTTATCTATGAAAAAGGAGGCTAATCTAGATAAACATGGATTGACAAGCCCAATCCGGTTGTAAAACAAAAGGGCCCAAGACGCAACACATTAATCTTCAACAATTGAAGATAACATTTTTGAAATAGAAGGCGCGTGGAATTCTAAACGGTTCCAATTCTCATGCCGTCTGATGTCACCTGACACCTTGTCAGCCGCTACAGTTGTCACATTCCATATTTCTAGGCGTCAATTTAGGGATCGTCACACAATCATCGCTTTGTTTCTCTCTCTCTCTCACTATAAATAGAGCTTTCAATCAACACTTCAACCTTTACCACTCTCAAAGATTTTACGAACTCTAAAAGGTGATTTTTCTCTCGACTGTTCATCTTCTTCTACGACCTTCAACAATGTCTGACTCTTCCTTAGTTCAAGAACAGTGTGCTCAGTCATCTTTCCTCACAATCAAAAAGAATCAAAACTTGATTCTCGATTTGGCTTTGTTCAAATACGATGCGCTTATGTTGTCGATCGTCAATGTCTAAAGTACTCACCTTTAGTCATTTCTCTAACCAAGGTAGAATGTGTTCCGATGTCGCTCCTGTCAAAAAGCTTATTCTGCGGCAGCCTATATCAGAGAGGATGAATGGATTTCCTTTGAGTTGTTTGACAAGAAAAATTCCCTCACGAAGGATAGATTTTTCTTTCTTCTAGGTATTGCCTTTGACGATTCCATGGTCAACCCTGATTCGATCTCCACTGCACAAATCATTTGCATGTTTTATCAGATGGGGTACACAGATCTAATCCCCTCAATCACCAAGTTCAGGAAATCTAACCTACCTCCCATATGGAATGGTCTCTTTACCCTTCTCTTCAAGGCATTTTCAGAAAGGGTAACTTGTTTGGATTGCGCAAGCAAGTACTTCATGATGATCCTCTATGGCCTCTCCCATGGGATCAATCTAGAATATGGTTCAATATTGTGGGCTCAACTGGTGCAAAGCTCAAACTCTACTACTCGTCACAACCAGATTTCTTATGGTAGATTTTGGACCATCATGGTACAGTGTGCAATCGCAAAGCTCAATATACCAGTCATGGCAGATTCTTTGATGTCATCGATTGCCATACTTCATACTACCAAGATAATCATTACTAACAACTCCAAGTTTTCTTTTGTGGATTCCATTCCTGAATCAATGTATAGGTGCGTGTCTGGTTCCAGCAACATCATTAGGGAATACAATAAGCTTCCAGTTCAAGGACCCAGGGTCATAACTCCTGAGATGTAGCACGCTGTTGATGAAACTAATAAGGTCAAGAAAGGGGGTAAACCAAAGCAATTAAAAGAGGGTTCATCTGCCTTAGCTCAGACTCCCAAGAAGCAAAAAACAAAAGGCGATTCTTCAAAGGCTGCTCCCTCTTCTCCCAAACCAAAACTTGTTAAGAAGTCAACTTGCAAGATTCGCATTCCTTCATCAACTTCTTCTGAGAGCGAATACGATGATGCTCATCAAAGCGAATATGAGGATGATGTCAATTGAAATGATCAAGAGGTAAACTTCTGTATTCCAACACCTCCACCATCACCTATTTCCACAGCTGTTCCTATCACCATTACTCCTTGCCCACCTCCTGTTTCTACACAACCGCCTACTTCCATTCCACTGCAGAACCCCATTTTCACTCAAACAACAACCACTACGACTACCACCATAGGTGAACCATTTGTTGATGTCAACGCATCTGATGCGGGGGAAAAGACTTTAGGTTTTGAAACCTTTTCTACAACACCTCCCACTTCTCAACCTCAAGATCACTCCAGCATACCTCTCAGTGCCAATGGACTCGACTTTGACAATTTCCATTATAGTCCATTCTCGATACAGGGAAAAAGGGATGATGAGACCCCTATGACTCAAAAGGATACTAGGACACTTACTGAAAAGTTGGAATCTCTTATTGCTTCATCTACTGCCTCATCAAGCCATGTGTATTCCGAAGCAACAGTTAAAAGTATGCTCGATACACTTGTGAAAGAGCACGCTACAAATCTAGACAAAGCAAAAAAAGCAGTTGAAAACTCCGCTCGTTCCTATCTGCAAACGACCGAAAAAATCAATAAATTAATCTTCGAAACGAAGACATTTATGATAGAGATTAATACAACAGCTGAGTGAATGCTTCCAAAGCGAACAATGCGATTGCGAACTTGAATGCTTCGCTTCGCCAAGAAAGGGAGACTTTAGAGAAGCTTCATACCGATATCTCTGCTGACAACACTGCATTTTGAAACTTCCATTTCCTCAATACTTTATAGGTTCCAAGAAGATTTAGCTGTTGAAAGCAAGATAATGGACGAAATTGCTCTACGCACCACTAAACTCAAATCTCAGTCCATCAAGCTTAAACACACAAATAAAGAAATAGAGGAGCTCAAATTTGAAAGAGCTATTTTGAAATATGTGTGGGAGATGTGAATTCGTTGCTCTCCAATCTTCTTGAAGGACATGACCCCATTCTGACCATCAACATTCACAGACATTTTGCAAACAAGCTTCATCCATCTCTCGCTCTATTTAACTGCATTGAAGGTGTTTTTGAGGCCCATGTCCCTCCGAAACAAGGGGAAAAGATCAAGTTGCCAAAATAGGGGAAGCATCTACACTCAAATCTGGACCTAAGGGTAATGTAGCTTCGGGTTCCAAAGGAAAGAAACCAATGGGGATGATGATGAAGATGAAGAAACTGAAGACGATCAACTAAAATGAAAGGATCGTGATCATGAATTAGATGAAAATGCTCGCATTGCGACAGAAGCCAAGGAGAAGGAGAGAAAAGAAAAAGAAGCTCATGACACTTTGGAGAGTAGAAAAATGATCTTTCCATTGTGGACGTTGGAGCAAATGTTACAGAAGGTTGTTGAACTCCCGAGTGTTAACTAGTTGGAACCAGTTGTTTCTTTTGATTTGGAAAACACGAAGGGTTCTCAGTTCGACATGCCCATAACACGAAAAGCTTTTGTTTTTCATTTTTTGAATCTATTGCAACCGTCCCATCTGGTGATATGAAAGTAGATAAAGCCTTAATTGACTTTTATCACACTCACACCAAAACTCGGTAATTGACTTGGAGTGCATAGAAGATAACGACAATCAAAGTTTCAGGGACAATCGTTACAGGGGGCTTTGTGAATGCGAAGTTCAAGGTCACCTGAGGTTCTGAAAATGTTCCACACAAATTCACTTTTGCTGATCTGCCTAATCTTAATGCTCATGATTGGATTCTATTGGTGAAATTTTTGCTTATCGAAGAACAAAAGTACGAACCTATTATGGCTCATTTAAAGCGAATTTTGGTTTTGTATATCTATGAAGTGGCGAAGTTGGATATCGAGATAGCTGGTGTTTTGAAGTGAAAGCCCACGGTCAATCCAATTGAAAGAGTAAGTGACATGAGCAAAATGTGAATGGGTGAAATTTATTTGGATCACTACATTGTGATGTTCTAGCGTGGAAAAGATGCTTCTGGATCATTTCAGAAATGTCTTTCTACATTGGTAGACAAACATTTATTCTCCACGTCTTCTTTGGAACATATTTTGGAGATTGTCCATAAGTGTAAATGAAATGATGCTGCTGCGACAAAGAACTTCAAGGATATGATTCAGTGGTATATCCTCTTCTGCAGTACTCTACTCGTTGTGATTCCCAAGCTTTTCAAGACGATCAAGAAGACTTAGCAGTAAAGCACCTCTCTCCCCAATTAATGCAAAGGGGGAGTTTGTTGGGTGTTAGGTGTTGTATCATTGGGTTGTTTTGTATTTAGTCTAATATGTATACGGTTTGGGCCTGTCCAGCCATCTTATTAATTAGGCTTTATGTATATATATAGTGCATGCATGCACCGTAGTATGTTAATGTTTTTATCTTTGGAAATTGTTTGTAAACCCTAGTGCACCTCTACAGTTGAAATTCTTCATCGAGTTCAGCTGAGGCGTGACTTTTAATCATTCAACATCTGTTTGATTATCTTTGTGTTCATTACTTACATGTTTAAATCTTATCGATCATATATAGTGTATGCATGCACTGTAGTATGTTAATGTTTTTATATTTGGAAATTGTTTGTAAACCCTAGTACACCTCTACAGTTCAAATTCTTCATCGAGTTTAGCTGAGGCGTGACTTTTAATCATTCAACACCTGTTTGATTATCTTTGTGTTCATTACTTACATGTTTAAATCTTCTCGATCTTTAATATCTTATTCTCTACAACAACTTAATTGAAGATGTTGAAGTTGACATGGAGGATTTCAATCTAAATATTGATAAAGAAGCAGAGTTCACTGGATGTCAAAGTTTGGGTGGTCAAAGAAATGAAGAGAGTGATCAAGAAGAGGATGTGGAGATAATTGATAATCAAAAGTGGGATTCACTTAGTGATGACTCAGGGGACAACAGGAAAAGAAGGGAAATGATCACAGCGTTGGGGAAACAAACATTATGTTATGTTGGTAAGGTGCATAAGGTAGCTTTTCATATTGGGCAGAAATATAAAGCTAAGAAAGAATTGAAAGATAAAATCAGCATGCATGCTTTAGAGAAAAGGAGGAATATATCATTCTCAAAAAATGACAAGACTATATTAAAAACTGTTTGTGATGGAACTGTAGTTGTAAATGAAAGTGGGGTAGGTGGACCTACCTCTAGGAAATAAGGTAAAGGGTAAAGATGTAAACTCTGATAAAGTTAAATGCACTTGGAAACTTCATGCATCTAGGTCAAGTGAATAGGACTATTGGCTTATTAAGACATATAATCAGAAACACATCTGCCTCCAAACACGAAAAATCATATCTTGCATGACAACATTTCTTGCCAAACAAATTATGGATCAGATTGAATCTAATCATGGCCTACCTGTACATGCCCTACAAGAGAAACTCCAAAATACATATGAGGTTAGTATTTTAGAAGAGAAAGCATTTAGGGCAAAAGCATTAGCCACCAAAAATGTTGCAGGAGATTACATAAAGCAATATACAGCTTTGAGAGAGTATGTACTAGAGCTACAACAGACAAACGAAGGTACAACTACAAAGAATGATGTGGTTTCTGAACCTGTGGTTTCATCCCCAACCAGGCAATTCAAAAGGATATACATGTGTTTAGGGACTTTAAAGAAAGGATTTAAGGTAGGGTTGAGATAATTTTTAGGGTTAGATGGAGCCTTCATGAAGGGACCTTTTCCAGGTCAAATACTAACTGTAGTTGCTGTTGATTCAAACAATGGAACCTACCCATTGGCATATGTTGTTGTTGAAAGTGAAAACACTTCAAGATGGAAATGGTTTCTTCAGTGTCTTGGAGAAGATCTTGACTTATATTCAAGTTCCAAATTCACCTTTATCGGTGATAGACAGAAGGTACTATAGTTACATATAATATTGCATATTAGTTTCATTACAGACTAATGCTAATTACTTATTTTGTTTTGGTGAAAACATGGTCTTCTACCAGCCATAGAAAAATTCTTTTCTAATACAGAACACAGGTTCTGTATTAGACACATATACCAGAACATGAGGAAGTTATTTAAGACTACAGAGTACAAGGAATATTTTTGGAGGTGTGCTACATCCACCACCATACCAGAGTTTGAAGCTGTAATGGTGGAGCTAAGGAATTATCACATAGAAGCATATCAGTGGCTCTTGAAAATCACTCCACATCATTAGGCTAGAAGTCATTTTTCAGGTATTTTCTCAATTTGTTGTCTTACCTTTCATTATATTATAGATATACATTAACTATTATTTTGTTAATGAACTACTAGGAAGGGCAATTTCAGACATGTTATTGAATAACCTTTGTGTAATGTTCAATAGAAAACTTCTGAACATGGAGAGACAAACCCATTATCAACTATTTGGATTTTATCAGAGAGTATATTATGAAGAGAGTATGCAATGTTATGAAGGTGTTAAACTAGTGTCAAGGTCCACTAACTCCAACTGGTACTAGGATTTTGGAAGAAAACATAATACTTGCTAATATGTATCATGCACGATGGAATGGGGGACAAAAGTATTAGGTTAAAGGTTCATCGAATGATCAACAAGTAGTGGACATGGAGAAAAGGGAGTGTAGTTGTAGAAAGTGGGAGCTTACTGGAATTCATTGCAATCATGCAATTGCAAACCTAAATGAAATGGCAGACAATGCTGAAAAGGTGGGAGAAATATACACCTATGTGCATAAGGTGTATTGGCTTGATACATGGAAAGAGATGTACTCCTTCAAGGTGAGCCTATCAAAGGTAGAGCCATGTGGCCTAAAAGTGACTACCCAGCAACTCTTGTCCCTCCACTACACAACAAAGCTATAGGCATGCCAAAAACGAAAAGGAGGATTACAGCAGAGGAAAGGATTGAAATTCAGCAACATAATAGGCAAGCAAATAGTCAAACTCAGAATGAAAATGAAATTTAAAAGCTGAGCAGGAAGTTTTTGACTGTGACATGTAGTAAGTGTAAGCAAAAGGGGCACAATGCCAGGACCTGCAAGGCCCAAGATGGGAATTGATGTTTAAGTACTTAAGTTGTTTATGTTTGTGAAGACTTGCTAATGCACTTTAGTTGGTACTTTGATTCCCTTTTTTTTGGTTCCCTTTTGGTAATGTACTTTGATTCCCTTTTATGGAACAATGTGTTGGACTATGAGCATTCTAACACTCCTAGGTGTACATGCAACCCTAAATACCTTGGATCTATGTTTTCTTTATTATACATGCAAATATCAACTTTCCAAGGTATTGTTCTATTCTAGCATACTAAACGTTGAATAACACAAGTTAGAATAACATACCTTTTGTTAGTGCTTGTCTTCATGAAGCTTGAGTGCCTAGTGCCCCAAGTGTGACACCTCAAATGGTTCACACAACACCATAAACACTTGGAATAACTTAGAGAGAATTCTACACTTCATGAAATCGGCTAGCCCTTTCTAGAATAATACTAGTGGCTGATTTTGGTCAAGAATAAGATCTTTATATAGTGTTACAATTAGGGTAAACTCTAATTGTCATGACTTTCCATTTCCTTGGATCCATGGGTTCAAATATACCATGGACCATCCATGGACCATCCTATGGGTTTTAGCCCAACTTGATTATCCA